GAACCCGATACGCAGATGTTCCATTCCCAAAAGCGCGCAGCATACCACAGCTCGTCACAGAGCCAGGATAACGCTTTTCGGGACTTGGATCTGGATTTGGATTTAGATATGGATTTGGATTTGGATTTGGAGCTGAGCGACGATGATATGAACACACAGAAAAGTACAGCAGAGGGTGCCAAAGGAAAAGAGAAGAAGGAAACAGAGGAGGAGATAAAGAAGTTTAGATACCCATTCGATGCCAGTGTGAATGAAACGGGGGTTACGGTACTTATGGATATGGATAAGTTTTGGGACAAAAATTCGGCCCTACAGCCAAAACAAGCGGAGAATGTGGATGCAGAGAATCCCGTTATTGAAGCCGGGACGAGGGAGGTGTGGGTAGGTGAGGAGTGGCCCACCATTGAGCAAGTGGAATATAATGAGAACTTAACCTTTCCGAAGAGGAAGAAGGGCGCACAAGACATAGTGCCCGAGAAAGTATGGGTAATCAAGCCCAAACCTCCACCCAAGAAGAAACCAAAGAAAAATTTAGGGTCCCAAATAGGTAAGCATGCTAAGCAACGGAAAATGCCGACGGTTATAGGACATTCTCAGCCCAAAAAACGACACGGGTTCAAGGTGTCCCGCCAAAAGAAATCTGGTTCATCACAGACCACTTCGCGCTCTCAAACGGTTCGATTTGCCGATTCAGAAGCACAGTCACAACAGCAATCCCAAACGCAGGACTACACACAATCCAATTCCCAGGCCCATTCCCGATCCGGATCACAATCGGCACAATCGTCACAATCACAATCACAATCACAATCACAATTTGAGTCACAACCCCAATCCGATTTCGGATCACAATCACAGTCTCAATCTCAATCTCATTCTCAATACCGAGCCAAAGGCAAGCACAAGAAGAAGCACAAGAAGGATAAGCATAAGAAGGACAAACACAAGAGCAATAAGAGGCGGATGGGTTTCTGATAATTAGACAATACGTAATTTTAGACAAATAAAAGTTTTAGGACAATCAAAATTCTCACATTGAATTGAATGCAAACTATGAATGATTTGGCAATGAGGCTGTGGGAGTTCTCTAAATACCTCGCTAACCCCCATCCCGTGACAAAAAAATAACATGACAGGACTTTCCAGGACATTTAAAAGCCTTGAAAAATAACGATACAGGACTTTTAAAAGCCTTGAAAAATAATAATACAGGACTTTTAGAAGCCTTGAAAAATAACAATACAGGACTTTTAAAGGCCTTGAAAAATAATAATACAGGACTTTTAGAAGCCTTGAAAAATAACAATACAGGACTTTTAAAGGCCTTGAAAAATAATAATACAGGACTTTTAGAAGCCTTGAAAAATAACAATACAGGACTTTTAAAGGCCTTGAAAAATAACAATACAGGACTTTCAATAGGCTTGTAATTCGAACTAGTACAATTCAAAACCCGCACCTGGAATGGCAATGTGGGCCGAATGCTTGTAGATTCCCATGTGCACATGTTTCTGGTTTTTGAGCAGGACATCAACAAGAACAACTCACAAGCAAGCACATCCATTCTCTGATTCTACGCCCTTTTCTGGTGAAGGGTATAGCTATAAGCCGGACATCCACGCCCACAAAAGTTGCCCACGAATCACTTCCATCTCTCAGTAGAATAGGGGTTTTAGGGTTTTTGTACAAGCTAACACCTCCAACCCAAAAGAAAAAACGGGTGCATCTTGCAAGTTCTCCTGCACCATAAACCCAGGACAGGACAGGACAGGACATGGGGATGGGGTGTGAAGTATACAGCTCGTATCCACGCCTCTTGCGCACATACACACACCTACACACTTGGATACATTTATTAATTCAATATATCGATATATGAACGATATCCTCATACAGGCGACATCTACAACGAAACTAAGCCAGGGCTGCACCATCGAGCGGCTTACAAGTCCTCGCGTACCATGAACCCAGGGCCTGGGGGTGGGGTTGTGAGCGCAGTGAGTCCGGCTGAGTTTTCGCAGCCCTTTCGGCCGTTCTGAGGCCCGGCTTTGGGCGTCTCGCCTATAATAGTGGACCATAAATGGGAGAAAGGACAGGTGAAAAGGTCGTAGGCAGACCATAAATGGGAAAAAGAACAGCAGAAAAGGTCCTAGACAGATCATAAATGAGAAAAAAAACAGGTGAAAAGGTCGTTGGCAGTGACTAGTGAGTGTTTGGTGCGTTTGTGTAATGATTGCGATTGCATAACACTACCATTTACACCATTGAAACACTCAAAACTTTTAGTGTTGACATCTGGTATGTGAAAACTGACGAACAACGAAAACCGACATCTGACACGTGTCACGGGACACATGGCATGTGACACTATATAATCCGTTTGCACATACACACTCCAAAACAGTATAGACACCCACACTACACCACACTCTCCATGCCACACATACCCTTCTGGAAAGCCTTCAGCACCTTCTCGGCTGTCTCTGGGGTTAGGTCCTCATAGTACGTGTCATTGACAGCAAACAATGGTGCGTTGACACATGCACCAGCACACTCCACCTCAACCAGTGTGAACTCGCCGTCCTTGGAGGTCTCACCCACTTTGATGCCCAGCGTATCCTCGCACGTCTTCAGGATGTCGTTGCAGCCCCTGAGCTGGCAGGGACTGGTGGTGCAGACCTGTGGGAGTGGTTCGGGGTTTAGTTTTTAAGTTTAGAGTTTTGGGTTGTAGGAGTGTAGGGGTTAGAGTTATGGGTTTAGGGTCTGCGTATCTTCCCATGTATTCAAATGCCATTGCGTCCCCTGAGTTGGCATGGACTGGTGGTGCGGTGCAAAACGCAGGCGATGTCTGGGGATGGGGGTCTAGGGTTTAAGGTTGGGTGTAGAAGTCTTACTACGTAAAAATGCACCGGACTCAATTATGTGACCAGACTTGTATACTTGCATAGGCACATATAGCACCTAGACTGTGCTCTCTTACTGCGATGACATAACTTCACCTATCCTCAAGATGTCACTACACCACCTTCACCAGCAGGAATTGGTGGACCGTACCCATAGGCTTGATGTGGGAGTCTTTGAACGAGCATGTATGTGAATAAGGGTTGTTTACATGTACATACACATAATGATAATAAGATTATTTGTGTATGTACAAACATATAATAAAGAAGATTTCTCTACGTGCATATATACACATAGAATGCCCAAGATTTATTTACATGGTTATACATACATACAACAAAAATGGTTTGTGCATGTGTATAGATACATATAATAAAGAATATTAGTTACAGTACATATACACACAATAAAGAAGAATCGTTTTCGTGTATACATACACACAAAAAAGAAGAATCGTTTTCGTGTACATATACACACAATAAAGAAAAATCGGTTTGTGTATATATACATATAATAGCCATGCAAGCGATGTCTTCATTCCTGAATGACTCGCCAGCTTTTATACCTCCGTGTAGGCTATCATTAAAACCACATGTCCAGCAGGGACTAGAAGCACACAATGAACCCTTAACCCTACTTTTGCGTGTTTGTTTATAGTTGACCACAGATAAGATACCTATAGCCATGTATGCGCATTTACGGTATCACGTATTTATTCTGCTACGCTAGCATTGCATACCGTGAATAGGAACAAAGTGGTAGGTATGCACGGGCGGTTTGTGGAATTGTGATTATAGGCGCCGTATGGCATCATCTTCACAGGCTATATACGCATGTTCACACACACACTACATCTGTATGTCTACACTACACACACACACACAATATATATATATATATATATACATATATATACATACATATATATATATATAAGTGTATGTACACACATATATACCCACACGCATACACTTACCTGCACAAACTTCTTGCCGATGGGGTCACGGTTGAACATTGTATAGAATGTGGCCACTTCAAACACACGCATATCTCCGACGTTCAATAGCTTAGCTGTGTGAATGGAGTATATGTGTGTAAGGCTTAGAGCTTGTGTATGGCTTAGAGCTTGTGTATGTGAAACACAGGTCAGCTGTGTGAATACAGTATAAGTGTGTATGGCTTGGGAGTTTGTGCATCTAAATTGGATGAATCTGGGTAGAGAAGTGCAGTACTAATAACGACAACTCGGCAGATTGTCATAGGTAGGCATGTCTGGGCTTAGAGGACACGCCAGTATGTTGCCCTGCACACAGATTTAGTATTCCAACACCCTAGTCATGTACGCGGAGAGGAACCCTAAAACCCTATGTGATACGTCACACGTAGCAAACCATGTGGGCAAAGCAACACGTCATCGGCAATCAGTATTGGTCAGTCCCACCGAACAAAGAACAATGTAACGCACCAGCAACACACCAACGCCAGGGACACGCCTAACATAACACAATGTGGACATTTACAATACTAGGCATACGTACACCTACGCTTAGCAGTAACGCAATGCTGTCCACAGAACGCGCTTGTAGGTACAATACTAGGCATACGCACATCTACGCGTAGACACAGACAACGCAAGCAAGGCTCATACACCCAGTAGAACGCATCAGAGGACAGCTAAAAACGGTTGCTTTTAACCAACATAAAAATTAAACGTGCGATTACGTATAATACTAGGAACACGATAGGTTTAAGTAAAGAAATGGTTTCATTTTATACTGATATGTACACATCAAAAACACAAAAAGACCCACAAAGTTCACACACACACATATATATTTATATATATTTAAGTAATGTAATATAAACAGAAGTATGTTTCGACACATACACACAAACACAAAAACAAACACAAACGCAAACAGTATCACAAACACCCAGCTATATATATATATATATATATATAAATAATAAAATATGAATAGAAAAAACATATATACGTATATGTACACATATTTACATCAATACATGAATACATACATACTAAATACACACACATATACATATGTGAGCGCGTGCGAAATGTATATATATATATATATATATAAATATCCACATACTTCCAAATGTATTCATACGCACAAAATACACACACGCACACACACACACAGAGACATATATATATATTTATATATACACACACACACACATATATATATACATACATATACATATACCCACACCTACATATATACATATATATATACATATGCATATTAAAAGATAAGTATATACACACATACACACACAGAGATACATATTTATATATATGTATTTGCTAATATACACACACAATACATATATATACATACACACACAAATGCATCCACACACACACATATATAAATATACATATATACAAATATACTTGCGTATACACACACACACGCATACATATATATATATAAATATATGTATATATACACATAGATATATACATATTAGAATATATGTAAACACATACACAAACAAAGACTATACATAGATATATATATGTATATTTGTATATACATTCCCACACCCCCCACCCACATACATATATATATATATTCTGTGACTGTTTGAATACATTGATGCATACAAATATACGTATACATATATATATATATAAATACACACACACACACAC